ATCATTTGCTGGATGAAGGCCTCCCCACACCGTGCCAGTCTTGGGGTTTGATTTACCATACTTCACCACTATGGTCAGTGCGGATTAGCAACACAGAGGGCCCAGGACCAGTTCAGATACTAATTTCCACCTCTTTTAGCGGTGGGTAGGAATTGAACTACGGTCACCAAGTTCCATAATATTACCTGCAACTGAAGTCATTGGCATTGTCTTGCCTTTAGAGTTACAAAGTGAGAAAGTCTTCAAATGACAGCGAGATTCACTATCGATTCAAACATATGGATTCGTTGTGGTTTTTTTCTGCTCGTGGTGGATGTAGCGGCCACCAGCGGTAGCAGGGGTCACGTTTAACATACCACAGACGAATGTGAAGGGAAAACGATTCTCACGCGCAAGTCATTGCCAGGAACCGATTTAAATCGACGAATCAAGGCATCGTTACACTGCCAATGACTACGAATCGGAGTGACAAGCGACAGAAGCAAAATTTCGCGGTTCGAGGTATAAACCCACAGATGCTTTGCGAGACAAAATCCATCACGAATTATTGCAAAAACGACAGTAATCGAAATACACGCAATCTTCCCGAACGATATTGCAATATATATAAATTGCTTCTGCAAAAATAGTAAAGTATTGAGGAAGGCAGCCGGTGCATAAAGCCAATGGTTTTGCCCCGTTCTTGTGAACTGTGAGCGGCACAACACGGACGCGTGCTTCGCGTTTAAGCAGGCAAGACGCATCCGGCTCCTGTGGGAAGATTCAACGCAGAATAGATTGCGGGCACGTAGCCAACGGAGTTGATCCCCAATTAGCCACCTTCAACGTTTCCAGGCGCCGAGCTTTTCACCCACCATGCATCATCGCACGCCGGTGAAGCGCCAGCTCACGGACGGGGGAAGCTTACAAATGCATTGCACCACATCTTTGTTGAAGCGGGCCTATTTTTAAACGGACCCTTTTCTCCCTATCTACAAGTGAGGATTGTTACAAAAATAATACAAATTTGAAGAAATACTCTGAATTCAAGACGTCCCCAACCCCCCCCCACCCGCCACAAATTATGGCGAGAAAAAATGTCACCACGAGGTAAACGTCTTAATGAGCTCTCCTCGTGTACAAAATGTAATGTAAAATCCCATTTTATGATGAAAACATATTTTGATATTCCAAGAACGCTAACCTTTGTTACTTATATTAACTTCGGATTGTCGAACAATTTTTAATTTGGCGATGTTTTTATGCTCCGGTATTTTATTTAAAACGGCAGACATCTCACTCAGGGTAGCCGAGCGTGTCTGTGTGTGGCCTTAACAGAACACAATTCACGTGACCATTGGTCACAATCGCAGGAGCAACAGAATGACAGCCGAAATCTCCCCCCAAAAAATCCCCCCACAAACTGTCCGGACAGCAGTACCCAATAAAACATAAAAATAATACCGTATTCTCCAAGTTACAAGATGCATTAATACCTTACAATCGGGTAGGTGTGTGCGTGTGACGATATCTGTGGAATTGAATTGACATCGGGGACACAATCTCGGTGCGTCTTACTTTCCCGAGCATCTTACGATCCGGAGAATACGGTAAACGTGTCCCACCGCAGTATAAATCATCACCGCTACCGCATTCCGTTATGAAACAAAGTAACCACAACAAACCCAGTTTTGCCGGGTGCTGAAAAGATAATGTCAGGCTTCTTGAGCCTCCCAAAAATGATTGATCATGGCATGAGACACCAACCATCGTGCGCGCAACCCCAAGTCGAATTTGACAAGTGGCCTTTTGCCAAATGACAGAAATAGGATGCCCCAGTCTCCCAGAGAGAGAGAGAGAGAGCCGAGCGGAAAGGAACGGTCATGACCCGGCAATGACATCGATAAAACGTTTCTCTGGGTGGGCGCGAGGGCACGGAATTCGCAAAGAATACCCAAGCTGAACGGAACAAAATCGAATTCGCCAAAAGGGGCATCCCGACGGCTCCTGCTGTTGGCCATAACTACAGAAAGGCTGTGTAAACAAGCAGCCTCGTCCATATGCCACACGTTGGGGGTTTTTGTGTATTTTTAGTGCAGTGCGAAAGCAGACACCCCCTGCTGAGAGTATTTGAACCATTTAAGCCAAGGGGGGGGGGGGGGGCGGGGTGTAAGGGTTGCCCTAAAATCAATCAATGGTTGCCACACGAGCTCACCAAGTTGCTTCAAGGGGCCAAAACCACCGTGGCGTATATCTGAAGAAACGGGAACACTGGGGGGAATTTTACAAGGGCACGGGCGTCCCCAAGACAAAGAACGGCTACATCCGCACACAAACCTTCCGACGGGTTCCTCTCTGCGCTTTAAGTCAGGGTTTGCACTCAAAACACAACGCCAAGAGGGCCAGCAGCTTGCCTTTCCTGTACTTTGCACCCCAATCGTGTTTTTGTATTATTTGTTTCTGTAACATTCTTACCCCCATGACCCGAAAGGACATTTGTAAAATAAGAGCTTTACAGGTCATCAGATTGCTCCAATAAAAAATATTCTCATCCTACATTGAGATTCCACATCCAACATGGCAACGTGAACCCTTCACACACAATGCCTTTGCAAACCCCTCTTTATCCACGAGCACATTTGAGCCGTGTCAGTGTGGGGCCCCCTCCAAGGCACGGGTCGTTTTAATCATTCGAGCAGCGCGTGAGCGTGGGCAACGCCGTGCCTATATTTTGATGCAAGTTTCTTTTGATTAATAAACAAAAAAACTTTAGTTTGGATTCAGTTGTTTAGGATCAATATCACTCACGGGTCCGTGTGCAGCCAATCACAAGACGGAGTTTTTGATTTCCTGCGGCAAGCCAGCAATATTAATTGCTCCTCCGCAGGGAGTAGAAATTGAAGGCCATGATAGGCTCAGGCGATTTATGTGAATTCATCTGACAAGCATTGCCACACCAGTCTCTGTTGTAAGAAGAAAATAAGTGTTTAAATCTGGGCCAATCTGCTCACAGAGACGAACAATCTCCTTGGTCTGCGAGTCTGCGCAAGCATCACGCTGTAGGAGCCATCGTCCGAGCCTGTGTGGGCTAGCGTGGCACAAGCAAGCATACGCAGTGCCGTAAACGTCATGTTAAACTCGTAAACTTTTATGCCGACTGGTGTAAGTCCAGCACAAGCACGTACGAAGTTGTAATGCATGAGTATTGGCGTTTACTTCTGTTAGTAAACTTTTGGCAACTGCTTCCACGTAATGAGTAGTTAGGTTTCCCATAAGTATCAAAAAAATATACAATGTATTTTTTTCTAAATATAGAAAGCATTATAATATTAATATACAATCCAATACTGGATGAAGACCTCCCGATGCCATGTCAGTCAAAGGGGTTGTTTGACCATACTTCACCACATTGGTGAGAGCGGGGGTGGTTACTTACGGAGGGGCCCCATTAGCGACTGACATCACTCCCCACCAACGTTAGCCATGGAAGTCACGTCGCCGGGTTCACAATGCAGTGAAGTTAACCAATGCGCCACCACTCCCCGCAGACAAAATACATGAATACATCTTTATGTATATAGACTACATATATACTGTATCGGTGTGTCTAGGTAATGCACCTATGTCCAGACACACGTACATAATACAGACGTACTGCATGTGTATATGCATTCAGCATAATTAATGTGTGTACTGTAATTCTATAACGTAAAAGGGCAAGGTACAGCCCTGCACCTCGACAAATCATTGCTCCGATTAGCACGGTTGGCTACGTACGGTGCGAAAGAAGTTCAACATACGTACGTACATTGCTGGCGGAAGTGCCTACACTATAGAAAGCTCAAGAGCGGGCATTTGGCCTACTCTTCCACACTTGCCAGACTTCTTGAAGGTGTGCGAGTCTTCCCCCACTTTACATCCCCGCACGCGACCTGCCGATCGATTTAACTGTAGTGCCACTCATTAATGCTGTACTCATTGTTACGTAATATTTCTACACACACACAAGAAATGAATTGTAGGAACATTTTTTTTGTCGTAACAAAAAAACTAAAGAGAGATAAAGATTTCATAATTAAAGACATACCCCAACAATCCCCTTCCACTAAACAATAAAATACCTTAACAAAAAAGAATAAAAGTAAAACAAAGGAAACACTGAATAAATACATGAGCAATAAATTACCAAAAAAAAGCTTAATTTCATCAATTAAAAAATGCAAATGAGCAGGGGTTCTCAACTGGAGTCCGAGACCCCCCCCTGCCCCCCATTGGGGGTCCCGTAAGCAAATCATCAGTGGGGAATGGGGTAGGAGACCCCTGCTCAAACACACACCAGCATTTGATGGCGGTGGGCGCTGCCATTCTATTCTGGAGCGTGGTGCCAGCAGCAATGTGCAGAGGAGCTGGATGCCAACGAATCAATGTCAAGGTCTGCTGGCCAGGACCAAGAGGGTTTCAGGGGTAGAGGCCGTTGTTGAAAGAGTTGAAAGAGCGCAGAGACCACTCCGGTTTACTTCGTGGTACATGGGACCAGCTGGGAGGGCGGGGAGGCTAGGAACACACCCACATTTTTTTAGAGGCTGTGGTTAAAAATTAAATTACCCAATTTATTATTCATTAACATTTAACGACTTAAATTTTGATTTAAAGCTTTCGTGACTGCAGGGATTCATATTCTTGGTTCTTTCGGTAAAGTCACCAGGTAGAAGGGAAACAATAACATAATAAAAATATAAAACAATAAAATTCTCACGACGTTTCAACTGCAACACAAGCAATCGCTCTCCGTGGTGCTAACGTAAAAAAACGCCACTTTTTTAAAATGTTCTTGCTGTGGTTTTCACACCTGATGATGATTGCTTGTGTTGCAGTCGAAACGTCGTGAGAATTGTATTGTTATTCATATTCTTTGCTCTTTCGGTAAAGTCACGTTGAAGGGAAACAATAAAATAATAAAATATATATAAAACAATAAAAATTCTCACGACGTTTCGACCATAACACCTGATGACGACCGTTTGTGTTATGGTCGAAACGTCGTGAGAATTTTTATTGTTTTATATATATTTTATTATTTTATTGTTTCCCTTCAACGTGACTTTACCGAAAGAACCAAGAATATTTCACGACTTGCTTAGCATTTTCTAGATGTTGTATTGTTTGCCGTTGTAACCTGCCGACCCGCCCATACAGGACACCTGTGGATGAAGAGCTTCATGGCTCGCCGCATTCCTCCTGCAGTATAAATAAAGATTCCCGATTCTGAAAGTACAAAGCTGGCCACCAGATCAGCCCAACAGCACTCCCCCCCCCCCCCCTTCTCTCCGGCACCCTCGCTGGGAGAGAAAACGGCTCTGCAGATGTAAAAAGATAAAAGTGCGGCTTAAAAGAAAAAAGACCATTAACCGTTTCCAAAGTGCTCCGAAATCATTGAGCTGTCGGGCTCTGTGAACATCACCACATTAAACGGGTCTACAGATGACACAATTAGTAAACTGATGTAAAGATTTTGATTTAAAGCTTTCGTGACTGCAGGGATTCATATTCTTGGTTCTTTCGGTAAAGTCACGTAGAAGGGAAACAATAAAATAATAAATACATAAAATATTGTTTTATAATAAAAATATAAAATATTGCTCAATATTTCTATTATTTTATTGTTTCCCTTCTACGTGACTTTACCGAAAGAACCAAGAATATGATGTAAAGATGTTGCCAAACTGGACTACAAATGTTGCTATCATGGTTCTGTCGGATACTCGACATCGATAGTGACGAACAGATTAATAGTTAACTATTGATATCATAGCGAATGGGTATATTGATGTCCTGATGGCAGATAGGTCTACTGATGTAACTAATTGGTTTTGTGCGTCACTGCGGTAAATGGGTGCCCAAACCTCACCATGGTAAATGGGCCTTTATGGACTTCACTGCAGTAACTGGCTCTACCGACGTTGCTATAGCAAAACAAGACAACCTATGTTGCTATCGCAACAGGGTCTTTAGATTTCACTATAGCACATCGGTCGATATATGCGAAAGTAAATGCGGACGAAAGGTGCCATCAAGTTTGTTGCTTTAAGTTTTCAGTCCTTCCCCGGCACCTCCGTTAAGCGCGGTTGGCTACGTACGGTGCGAAAGAAGTTCAACATACACGCAGGTGTCTATGATGTCTCAAGAGTCAAAGGGTCCCCCGTGGATGTCTCCGCTGCAAATGCATCCCTTTGCCCTACGTCGAGCGAGTCCACAGCCGTCACCCGAGAAGCCACTTCCCCGCCGACAACCGCACCAAACGCGAGACTCTTCGCCCGAGCCGGTCAGCCACCATGCGGCGCCCCACCGCAAACGGTGGACGGAACCCCCCCCCCCCCCAACCACCCCCCCCCCCCCCCCCCCAAGTTAAAATCGACACCAAACTCGGCGACGTCACGGCGGCCCGGTCCCCGGCGTCTCAGCAGTGCGAGTCTCCGTTGATCCCGGCGGCGATGGACAGCGGCGCCGCCGCCGCCGCCGCGGTCGCCTCGCCGAGCACCTCCTGCATCCACGTGATCTCGGCCGCCACCTCCTGCGCCAGCGCCTCCAGCTGCGCCTGGCGCCGGCCCATGCGGCCCTCGACGTGCGTGATCGCCGCGTCGAGGGCCCGCGTCTCGTCGCGCGCGTGGCGCCAGCCCTCGTCCGCCTTGCGGGCCTCGTAGCTGCGGGGAGACGCCGTACGGGTGGAGGTCAACGAGTCGCAACGGGCGAGAGCACGTACACAAACGGGCGGTGGCGATACCACGCTGATCTCGTCGGGAAGCGTAAACCGTTGCGTGAACTCCGATCATCGCGGCGGCGGTGGCTTTTGGCTGGTCGCAGTATGGCGCGGCGCTTTGCGGATGCGCTTCTGCGGCCGTCTGGAACGCTCTTCCTTCCGATATGAGTAAGCCACTGGGAGCTATGCAACTTTTACATCTAGATTGAAAACTCATTTCTTTATAACAGCTTTTTGCGTTTCATTTGTTGTCTTTCCCCCGCACCTCCGATTAGCACGGGTGGCTACGTACGGTGCGAAAGAAATTCAATATAAATACATATACGTACGTAAAGGTTGAGACCTCCCAACTCCTCCCCAGGTATGTTACTGTCAATGGATGACGAATTTGCCTGCAAGCCTCACTTCTGGAGGCTTCACCTTGCCCAAACAAGCACCGAAGGCACAGTGTCTCGTATTTGCTCAACATCTATTGCTTTGGGGTGACGGACGTTAGGTCACGCCGTCTCAAAAAACGCAAGCTTGCAGGTTCGGAAAGGATGTTTTTTATTGGCTGCTGTTTTGTGGACTGCTCGCTGTGCTATTCACTTTGGTTCTCAAAGCAGATAAGTTGATAATCAAAAGTAGAAGTGCGCTGATAAATCAATGATTAAACAAAGTAGATCAGGGCGAGTGAGAACGGGAGAGAATAAGTGACAAAGTGACATTTGAGAGCTGGTGAAAGCGGGCGAGGTTGGGTGACAGCGAGTGTGAGCGAGTGTGGGTGAGTGCGGATGAGAGTGGGTTGAGTTCGGGTGAGTGCGGGTGAGAGTGGGTTGAGTTCGGGTGAGTGCGAGTGAGTGCAAGTGACAGTGGGTGACACCGGGTGAGTTGCGGGTGAGTGCGGGTAACAGTGGGTGAGGGCAGGTGACATCGCGTTAGTGTGGGCGACAGTGGGCGAGTGCGGGTGAGAGCGCAAAGAAGCGATCCAAGCGACCGCATCCACGAACCGGGCGCGCGACATCTCTTGGCGCGCCGCCTCGCCCGCCTGCCGCTGGTGAACCTCGGTCTCGCTGCACGCGGCCAGCAGCACGCCCAGCTCCTCGCGCAGGCGCCGGCGGCCCTTCTGCAGCGCGCCCAGGCCCTCCTCCATACTGGCCAGCTCCTCCACGACCCGCGTGAACCTCTCAAAGTCCACGTAGGTGCTGTTGGGGTGCATGCTCGAGTGCGACTTGATCGTGTACTCCTTGAGGCGGCTCGGCTTGAGGCGGCGCCGCTCCTTCTTGCTGGTGTCGCGGTCCGCCTGCGCCGGGGCCGGCTGCTTGCCCTGGTGCGACGTGGCCATGCGTGCGTGCGCGTGCGTGCACGTGCGTGCGTGCGTGCGTGACGGGCGGTGGTGGCAGGAAGGGGCGGAGGGGTTAGCAGTGGATCGGCGCGTCGGCTCGCCTTAAAGGTTGCTTCTTCGTCGACGCCGTCGTCACCGGCATCGTCATTTTCGTGATCACCATGATACGAGTGCCAGCCTGCGACCACATCGTCCGCTTGCGCCAGGGCCGGCTGCTTGCCCTGGTGCCACACGGCCGTGCACCTGTGCGTGGCTCGTGGTGGCGGGGGAAGGGTGGAGATGATGAGGACTACGATGACGATGATAGCGACTACGATGACGATGATGGCGACTATGACGACGACGACGACGATGATGACGACGACGATGGCGACTACGATGACGACGATGACGAAGATGACGACGATGACGACTACGATGACGATAATGACGACGACGATGACGACTACGATGACGACGATGGAGTATTGGTTCATCCTCTAGTTTTATCGTCATCATCATCATCATCCTTGTCATTTTCATTCCCATCAAAATACTATTTCCTGCTGGCCCGTGGTGGATTGCTGCCCACTAAACTTTGATACTCGAGGCACAAGCAGAACGGCAGACAAACGTCCTTCAAATAGATCAAACAGTTGCGCGATGCGACTGCCCACCACCAAACCTCCCCAGAATGTTACCCAACCATCACGTGCCAGAGACTAAGTGGGGGGTTCGGTCTGGATGGCGTTTGGACGCAAACAAAGGTTGACACGGGGCGCTGCGAGGGAGGGGGGGGGGGGGGGGGCTACGTTACGGGTAGCCGGCAGCAGTGCGTCGCGATGATCGTGACGACGACGGTGAAGATTTGGTTTCGTAAAAAATAAAAGATTCTCCGCGTCTGGCGTCAAGGTGCGGCAAGAGCGACGGAATCGGATTGCGTGCGCGCAGCAGCAGGGGAACGCGGCCCCGTTCCGTTCACCTCCATTCACTCCCAACGTCATCTTAGGCTAAAGGAGCAGCTTAACCCTGAAGGACGCGTACCTTGACCCACTGGTGGATGAACGTGTCTTTGATGAGAAGACGTTTCCTGGAGGAAGAAGAAGAAGAAGAAAGCTCACATCAGCTGCGCGAGTCGTTGGTCAGATCTGTGGCGGGACGCTGGTGGCGTGAGAGCGAGGAGGTTGGCCGACCTTCCCGTACGGATTTTTTCGAGCGTGACCCTCTCGTACGCGTGCCGGGTTTTCTCCGATTACCTCCCGCACGAAGTCGAACGTCCGTCGAAAGAATTGGCCAGACCCCACGACGTAACAGGGACCCCCCCCCCCCCTTCTCGGTAAAGGATCGTCATCTTCTTCCAAGCCCGTGACTAAATCATCCAGAATGTGCCAGATCTCGTCACATCTCGGATGTGACGAGATCTGGCACATTCTGGAAGCTCAGCAGGCTTTTTCGAGCCCGGCTAATGTTTGGATGAATACAAAACAAAAGAATATGCTTTACCCCTTCCAATCAATAATACTGGTGGTGTGAAGATGTTGAAACTCCAAATAGACACCGATTACAAGGCATCAAGTCTGCATTAAACAGACAGACTTGGAGTAAAACATGCAAACTCTATCGCCGGATGATGCTAGCTGTCAATCCTGGAAAAAACGTCGTACTCGAATTGTAAACGTTGTGAGTTTACTCTCAAACATTCCGGTGTGCTGTACCAGTGATGAATTGGCACGTTTTGTGCTACTTGATAAACCTTACTAATTGGCCGTGTCGGGTGGTGACGGGTTCAACGACACAGTTATATTTACGCGATCTAACTAAAAAAACACTCTATTCTGGATGCTTCGGTAATAACTTATGCAGTGTCCTTGAAACCGATCGGAGTACACCAGAGACAGCCTCCCTTTATCGCCTCTTCTCACCGGTGTTAGACCAACAAAAAAAAACATCGAGTTGCCCAACTCATTCCTCGTAGACGAACGAGACTACCGCGACTGCAAGCCCCTTCGTCCCTCGCGCCGCACGCGGCTCCTCACTTGGGGTCCTTGACGAGCAGCTTGCGGATGAAGTCGATGGCCAGCTCGCTCGTCTGGCCAAAATACTCCTCGTCAAAGTCGTAGTTCATGGCTGTGATGTTGGCGAGCGTCTCCTCGTTGCTGTCGCCCAGGAACGGAGAGGCGCCGCTCAGCCTGAAACAACAACCGGGACACCGCCGCAACCGCCATCACCATTGCCATCACCACTGCAATCGCCACCGCAATCGCAGCGACACCATCAGCGTTGGAAGATGACAACAATTCTCAAGTCTTGGCATCGCTCCGTGGCACCGTCTCATGGTATCGTGCCCGATTATCCTGGCTACTGCCGCCACCCAGCGGAAGAGCAAGTCCAATCAGCTCACGTAGTCCGTGGGCCAGAGCAGAAACCGGTGCCACCTAACGTAGTAAAACTTTCGTAGATCCAATTTATACGTGCATATTACGAGCTAATAATTAGATTTACCCATCTTAAACAGTTATCACATGAAATGTAGGCGTTCGCGACCAACATTAATAATAATAGAGGCTTCTGGAGTTAGATCGCATAACCCAAGGTAACCCAAAAACGCGATCTAACCAAATTTTTTCTTATTATGGTGATCACATGATTCACTGTTATTGGCCACGTAAGGAAATTGGAACTGATAAAGTTACGCCTCCTTGCGCGGTACCAAATAAGTGAAACATCTGGCCTGGGCCCACGGACAAATAACTACTGCATGGTAGCAGGAAGCCCGATGCTGAGATCAGACTGCTTCACATTGGCAAGATGAATCGGTGACCTGTGTACAAAGGCCCCAAGCTAGCCAGATTGGCTTGGATCAGGCTCAATGGACTGGCACGTGGCTCCTCGCTAATCAACGGCAGCAGGAACCCTCCCACACTCAACACCAGACAACCCTTGCAGAATGACAACTAATCACGAATTCACATACATAGGGCCCCCCAGGGTCGGACTGATCGGTTGGGATCAGAATTAACCGGCGCGGGTGTGCGTTGGCCACGATCAATTTGGCATGCCGATTTTGGCACGTTCTGGCACGCGCGCCACCACCCTCTCATCACACGCGGCTGCGGGGCCGCCCAGCGAACAGCCGCCCCCACCTCCTTGCGGCGGTGGAACCGAAAAGGTTGACCGGGCGCGGTGGACGTGGCAACCGTGGAGCGGTGGAGTGATTTGGAAATCGACCTTTCCTGAAGATGGCAAGGAGAAGGCGGCGGTGCTGGACAGGGCGACGCCGTTTGCGGCAAGCGCACCGCACCGCCAAGGTTCCGTAGATATAACTGCTTGACCCGAGCCGTGTTCTGATACTTGCAATGTCTTTGTACCATTTGGCTTTGTCTGATCTGGCACAGGAAATGAGACTAGGCCATGAAGGAGGCTGCTGTCTCTGGTGTAGACCAATCAGTTTCAAAGACAATAACCATAGATTACCAGAGCATGTTTGTTTGCATATTTTTCCATAAGTATGTGTGGTTAATGGAATTTTGATGCCTTGCAAAAGGTATAAATTTGGTGTTTGAATAGCTTAACACCTCCTGTTTAATTCCCAGAAAGGGTAAACACCTATTATTATTATTATTATTATTTTTCATCATTAAGGTTTTGGGTCTGAGTAATTTGCCATTAATCTTTGACAGGGTGCTAGATAAATGTATTTTCAGGTTGCGAGTAATTTCGATAGCCGCCGTACAAATCAGGGACGTTTTTCGCTACACGTGCTGAAGGAGCTCTTAGTACGTGGGGGCGGAACGTCGGACATCATACCGAACAACAACACGCGGCACGACCTGGAAGCACATCGGAGGGCTACACAGCACATCTGCAAACACCTGCACAAGATTCAGTCATGTTGAAGTTTAGTTGTTAAACCATATTTGAACCAATGAACTATTTTTTATTTTACCAGGTAAAGCCCACTGAGCTATAAAGTGGCTGTTTTTCATAAGCGACCTGGCCACACATGATAGCTCAACTTAGTGGCTTATCACGTGGAAATGTATAGCAGCCAAATAACTCTAAACGCGTGTTTCTCAATGTGGAGAGACAAAACCGGAGGATCCGGAGAAAAATACACTCGACCACGGGGAGGGAAAGACACGCAACCTCCAAATATACAGCGGGCGTCAGGGTCGGGATCGAACGCACGACCTCCTGCATGCCAGGCGAGGTAGTTAACATCTCCTAGCCACCGTGGCCCCCTATATATTTATTGTTTAGCGATACACAACGGGGTTTAAAAAACAGCGTTTGCTGGGCACTTGAAACCTCGATGAGGGTCAATGGTCCTGATCGAACCCACGACCTCCTGCATGCCAGGCGAGGTAGTTAACATCTCCTAGCCACCGTGGCCCCCTATATATTTATTGTTTAGCGATACAGAACGGGGTTGAAGCCGTACAAAACATCTTCTGCGTTCGCCGCTTCTTCAAGTAATCAATTCACTTTCCGCCACCCCCGTGGCCACGTGGGCAATGAGCCACTTGACCCTCGATGAGCGAGGAGCAGCTCAGGAATTAAACCAGCACGCACCTGGACATCTGTGAAAGAGAGCCTCATAGCTCATCGGATTCCTCCGGTATAAATACCTATTCTGACCTATATTATTCAAGCACTGTTAATTCGCGGTCCGAATAATCTGCACGCAGGTAATCGGCAATCGACTGTGGTTGCGAGTTCAGTGGTAAAATGCATGGGGAGGCAAATATAGGCAAAACAAAAGCGCGTGTGCTAATACTCACAGAATATATGTGATTACGCCAATACTCCTATAAACAAAAACAACAACACAAAGTAAACGTGTGCAAATTAAATAACAAAAATTAGCAATTTAAAGATTTCAAAGAAATCAAACTGGTTACTTCAAAAAGCCACACCAACAAAAACTTTAAAAGATATACAACGCATCATGAATGCAGAGCAGATAAATCAAAGTGTAAAAACAACACAAGGCAGAGGGCTGTGTGTATTTTAAAGCGACTGCAGAAAAATACAAACTCTAGGTCCACGGTTAAATCTTACCACATGTCGGCCTCCAGCCCCAGCGGTTCAAAGTTCACGATTTCAGGAGCTGTTTTCATCGAATGAAAACAAACGGACGGGAACACGACAGAAGAATTAACATGTCGCGCGCAAGAACGAATCACCCCGTCGGATCGCGGATACGCGGTTGAATGAGCGGCCACCGTGGGTGGGGAGGTGTGTTCTGGGCTCCGCGGCTACTGTGCAGAGAGCAGAGGGCAGTCCAGCAAAATCAAAAGCCGTGCTGTACTTTCGTGCTCCCGCGTAGCCTATGCTCGACGCCTTCACCGACCCCGCAATGAACCGGCGTGACGAAAAGAATGACAATAGCGTGGCGAACAGTGACAAAAAGGGCTGTACGTGTACCTTTTTTTCATAAACGGAAGCCAAGAGCTTACGCTCAAAGACCCTCCCAAACGTGCCAAAGCGAACGAGTGTTTTTGCAGATTAAGCGCCACGCGAGCCGTGACACCTCAGGGCATCTCGCGGCAGGCGTTCATCTGCCATGGCTGCGCTCTCACCACGTTCATCAGCTCCGAAAGAACGAGATGCTAACGCGAGCGTTGGTGAAGGGGCCACTCTTAAGCTTGATGGATCGCCCTGTTTATACCCCCTTTTTCCAGTAACTCCGCTAGGACGGAGTGTTCCCCGAGGTTTAAATGGCGTTCCGCCAACATTTGCCCCAACACTCGCTCGGAGGGTGAAGTCGTACGCCGACGGCAAGGAGACAAGTTATGGATATTTTCCCCCACCTCTTTGGCCATTTTTATGCCCCGAAAAAAATCCCCGCAGAAGCCACTCGCTTTTGTTTGCTTCCCAACGCACGAATCGGGCCTTAATTCTTGAACTGGGATTGGGTTGGGAACCAGCGTAGGGACGGGAGTTTCAAGGTGAAGTCATCTCATTTGCGGGAGATCAAGCAAAAATAAACAGGTCCCTGCAGGGTGGGCTGGTAGGAACATTGGAATTTTGCGCAATTTTATTTATACACCCCAACGGCACGAGATTTCACTTCGTTAAAGTATTGAAAGGGGACGGACGGACGGACACATTAATCTATTGCAGGCTGGTACACTCAGTTTACAACTTCGTTCCTACCAGTATAATTTACATTTATTTGTACGGTGACTTCCACCAAATCTCTCAAGTCTGCCCAGTGGCATTCTGGATCCTGCGGAGTTTGGAGATTAGGGAATTGCAGACGGCCGTACGAGAGAGAGTTGCATCCTTTTACCCGTGATACATTGGCAAACGCGGGAACATTTTTACGTTAAATGGGGACATTCGGGGGAGTGGACATTGAGAGGTGCAGTCGCCTCGTCAAACTGTGATAACAAAAAAGTGGTGGGCAGAGAGAGCCACAACAGCAGGTGGCACAGGGAAGTGGCAAAACGAAATTGATGACGGTAAATGACGGACGGATTGAATGAATAAATGGGGTCAATGAGAATATGAAGAGGGAACAGTGATGGTGGTGGTGGTAATGCAGGGGAGATTAAGGTGGGGGTCATGGGGTGGGCTAGGAATCAAGAAGTGCGAGTTTTGAGTGAGGAGCGGAAGCTTAGTGAGTGAAGGTGACCGCTTAACGTGGAGGGGGAAAGTTCGTTCCGGTGAAGGGGGGGTGGGGTTGAGAAGAGAGAAAGAGCGAAAGCGCGTGGATTGAGTGCAAGGAGGAGGAGGAGGAGCAGAAAGAGAGAGAAGAGAGGAGAGCGGTAGACGACAAAGATTGAGAACGGCGGCCAAACGGGGACCGGACGTACCGACAAACTCGGGCGTGCCGAAGATGTTCTTGAACTCCATCCCGTCGACGATCTTGTGCGCCAGTCCGAAGTCGATGATCTTAATGCGCGGCCGTCGCTCGCTCTTGTCCAGCAGCATGATGTTCTCGGGCTGTGCGGCAAATCGCGGCACGGTAGAAAAACGGAGCGAAGGTTTAGCGACGGGGATCGCCGGGTATCCGGGGCGTAACTCATTTGCCATTACGTCAGGGGCGGGGGGTGGGCGGTAAGATACGGCAACGTAAAATTCGTTTGAAACGGCCCACGGTCAAGCGAGGCACTGCCACTTCCAAACGGGCCCGCAAACGAAATTTCCTCCGCCAAATGCAAGCGTCGATGTTGCCTTTCCCGATGCGGACCTGCGAACCGACGTCGGCGGCGCGTGGGCAAGAGGAGAGCACGTTCAGGCGTCGCAGCATCCGAGCGTGGTAAAGGTGAACCCTCGTTATTGTCATGCCGTTATCGGCCACCGATACGGTGTTCGTTCGTTAACGTCCGCGGTGGTGAGATGTTAACTACCTCGTCTGGTATGCAGGAGGTCGTGGCTTCGATCCCAACCGTGACGCCTGATGTATATTTGGAGTTTGCGTGTCTCTCTCTCATCATCATCACGGTGGCTAGGAGATGTTAACTACCTCGCCTGGTATGCAGGAGGTCGTGGGTTCGATCCCAACCCTGACGCCTGCTGCTGTATATTTGTAGTTTGCGTGTCTCTCTCTCATCATCATCACGGTGGCTAGATGTTAACTACCTCGCCTGGTATGCAGGAGGTCATGGGTTCGATCCCAACCCTGACGCTGCTGTATATTTGGAGTTTGCGTGTCTCTCTCCCCGTAGTCACATGGATTTTTCTCTGGGTCCTCCGGTTTTTCTTTCCACATTTTAGATACATCACCCGTTTAGAGTATTTGGCTGCTATTCATTTCCACATGACAAGCCACTTCGTTGAGCTATCGTTTGTGGTCAGGTCGCTTCTGAAAAAAAAAAGAGCTAAATAGCTCAGTGGGCCTTACCTGGTAGAAAAAAAAGTTTAAAGAATAACGCAAAGAATCAATCCACCGTCACTAAGTCCAGCCCCTTTGTTAAAATAAGGACGACGGAGGTGACCCCTAAACCGTCACCTTGAGGTCAAAGTGTGCTATGTGGCGCCCGTGCAGGTAGTCGACGCCGCTCAGGATCTGCCGCAAGAAGTCCAGGGCCTCCTCCTCCGTCAGCGACTCCTTCTCCGCCAGGAAGTCGAACAGCTCGCCGCCAGACACGCTGGGGGTGAGGAGGGGATCACGGAAGTCGCAGAGATCATGGCATCAAAGGAGAAATTGGCACATCTCCCCGCGGTGGACACCTACAAGTCACGTCCGTCGCACGAGAGTGAAATGGATATTTACAATTCGCAGGCTGTGAAATCATTATTTCAATCACTTGCTTGCTCATTTATTTAGGCATTCATCGCTAACCGGGCTGACTTTAATCGCAGGCGGATGAAACCCAGATTCGAATGCAGCAGGAACTCAACGGTGCCAGCTCAGCGTTCCGACCTCCGATACAATTGGGTAGCCACCTCTGATGATTTTCCAGATGCCTACGCACACGTCACCCCACCCCCCGCAGCATTGTCCTGCTTCTCGACGACGGACAGAGAGGCCGGGCTCCGGCGATAGCGGCCACGGCGGCACTCACAGCTCAAGCAGCAGGATGACATCGGTGCGGTTCTCGAAGACGTCGTGCAGCGTGACGATGTTGGGGTGCGCGATCTCGCGCAGGATGTCCACCTCGCGCAGGATCTCCTCCTCGCTCACGCCGCGGCGGCTGGCGCGTGACCGCCGCTTCTTGATGAACTTGGCGGCGTACGCCACGCCAGAGCTCTTCTCGCGGCACTTGCGCACGATGGCGAACTGCCCGCTGCGGTGTCGGTGTTGGGGGTGGTTGGTGGTAAAGGGGTGGCGGGTGGGAGAAGTGTGCATGGCAGGAATCGCTAAGGCACGCACAGTAAAACCTTGGATTGCGAGCATAATTCGTTCCGGAAACGTGTTTGTAATCCAAAGCACTCGTATGTCAGTTGTGATCCCGTGACGCTCGGCAGTACAAAGCGTACACGTACTACTACTCGTATTGCAAGACCCTCGCTCGTTTATCAAATTAATATTTAGTTAAATTTTTGGCTCGTCTTGCAAAACACTCGCAGACCAAGCTACTCGCAATCCAAGGTTTTACTGTACGCGTGTACAGGCCTTTACGGGGTGTCAAATGCGTGGCCGGCTGGGACGTCTGCGAGTAAAACAATGCCTCGCGGCATGCCCGTGCGAGCCCATGGGTGTTACCTCGGCATTCTTCGCCACTGCTGGTTTGCCGAAGACGGCGGGGGGGGGGAGGGCGCAGATGCGGGACAAGGCACGTGCACGGCAGCAACGCGGCACACAACACACCCGTCTACCCACGGTGGTCACACGTACATGCGCTTCATCAAGCTCAACCCTGGCTTGGCTTCCGAGCTCTGATGACAACATTCCCGAGTAATTCGGGGCACAGGCCAAACAAAACAATCAGACAAAACATCATCGGCTTCCACCGCCCGCCGCCCCCCCGCCCCCCCCGCCAACAACGCCGCGTCCCCCACCTCCCGTCCCCCGGTGGCATTTCGGATTGGCGGGTGACGTCCAGGAGGAAAGACTCGGGTTGGATTACGGAACGAGTGGCAACCCGAGCTGGCGTAGGGCTCCCTGCATCTCTGGATCACTTTCAATGGGACGATTTCCCAAGAAGGTGTCCCCATTTATAAAGTTGTGCCCGTGCGTGCATGCCCGACCTAATAATAAATGTACGCTTATGAGCGCCGCAGGTTCTGCAACTCAATCGCTCAATATTTGCAGCTCTGCAAACGCTCCATGCCAGATCTGCAAGGTGCGGTGGAAAGAAAGGGTCAACTCAGTTCTTGTGCGGTAGACACACGTGTGTGTGTGTATATATATACAGCTCGTGTTTACTGCAAGAAAATCTAATTCACTATATGCTCGTCTTGAGCAAGATAACAAAACGATCGCGAACATTTATTGCTTAAACTATTCTATTCTAGGTTCTTTCGGTAAAGTCACGTAGAAGGGAAACAATAAAATAAAAAATATATTAAACAATATATTTTTATGGAGCTGATGTTGCTTGGGTAGGAAAGGCAGAATAAGTTGGAATGTGAAAAAAATATATATAAAACAATATATTTTTATTATGTTATTGTTTCCCTTCTACGTGACTTTACCAAAAGAACCAAGAATATGAATCCCTGCAGTCACAAAAGCTTTAAATCAAAATTTATTCTATTCTATTTTGGATTTATAAAGCGTTTCAAAATGCAAGCTGACGGCGGTCAGTGAGGGAGGCGACGGATGGAGGTACAGGGACTGGGAATGGAGCTGATGTTGCTTGGATAGGAAAGGCAGAATAAGTTGGAATGTGATGGTGAGTGAGGGTGTAACGTGGATGAGAGGCAGTACATCTTGAAGCAACAGCCCACTGAGATAACGTTGTGGTATAAGGCAGCGTTAAGGATGCATGCCAGCGCATTTGATTTTCCCTGTGCTTATGGGCCACTGCCAACTACAAGTGTAATATTTAATTTCCTTGGCGAATGTTAGGAATTCATGCTAATACTGTGAACGTAGTAGCAGCCACAGGTGCACTGTGCTATGAACCTGCCGGCGACCCGAGTTGGAATCCCAGCCATGGCTAACATCAGTGGCGGACTGTATCACCTGCTTCACGTATGCCACACTGACCAGCGTGGTGACGCACGTCAAACACCCTCAACGGCCCGGTGTTGTTGCCAGGGGCACAGCTGCCACGTGACCGCGCCTGCCATGGCAACACTCGGCGTAAGGCACAGGCGGAGCGGTGCAGCGACCACGCTAACCGTTAATGCTCCGTGGACAGGAGTCACAAGTGAGGCAGGGCCACCCTCGCCGCCAAAGTCCATCTCAGCGTTTAACAATAATTGCAAACAAAATCTTTACTTGTTTTCCATGTGTGTTCATGCGGTAGCTTATGTTAAGCTGAAAGGGTTTTTTTTTATTAGCGAAAGAATAAAACAGTTTTTGGCTTATTATCCTATTTAAATTTCAAAAAAACTGAAGATGTTTGTCAGAAAGGGAAAATGTGTAAGAGGTGACAATTTGGGCAATAGTCCTTCCTGATAGCACATACGCTACGAGGCACATGCTATGAAGAAGGGCCATTGCCCGAAATGTCGGCAGTGTTGTTGACAAACTTGTTGTGTCGCTTTTGTTTTTCCATTTGTGTTCTTTTGCACAATTGCCAAAACCAGTATCACCAAATATTGTTTCATCTTAAAATTATAATTGGGGAATAGCCTCTGTGCTCCACATGTTTCACTTAGCCATGTCCATTCAGCTATGGGACTGACACCCTGGACTCACCTGCAACAGTTATGGGGAAGCCTAGTTTGTATATATTTTTTTATCTCTCCCATCAATTCTAATCCATTTTGTGCTATCGGTGTCACGTCACAAAGTATTAACTCAAGAACCATCTCACAGCAGTGCCCGATCACGGGCCACGGAATTGGATATCGGTACCATCACCGAAATCTCTTCACATGACTTTTGGTCCAGACTGCAAGCACCATAAATGACCCACCCAACCCACCCTGTCACCGAAAGTATTGTTTAACACATTGCAGTCCACCATATCGTTTCATTATCGGATTGGAAATGTATAAAAATTAAATACTGAACCAAACTCCAAATATACAGGCGTCAAGGTCGGGATCGAACCCACGACCTCCTTCATACCAGGTGAGGTAGTTAACATCTCCTAGCCACCGTGGCGCAAAAAAGTGGCACTATATAGCAGCGGTGGCAGACCTCCGAGCTACCCATCCATCTCGTTCAGTGCGACTCCTCCATAAACTTACTGGGGCACGGGAAGCACTTTGTGCCAAGCAATAGCCGTGGCAAAACCTAGACTTTAGATTGCAGGAGGAATCCGATGATCTGTGAAGCTCTTTCCAGTACGGGAGATCTGCCCCACGTCCTTGTTGGTTGTTGTGCAGCACTCACCTGCCAAGCTCCTCGGAGAAGTCGTAGAGCTCCTCGATGTTGGTCTGCTTGAAGGTCATGGCGGCGGCGGCGGTGGCGGCGAGGGTATCAGAAGTGGCGACAGGGTAAGGGGTCGCGGGTCAGTCCGCCCTCCTCGGTGCCATCCCTTTCCGATCAAACACCGCGGGCGTCGCTTGAACACGCCCAGAGATTTACACTGCAACAGAGCGTGCGTGTGTGGGACAACGGAGGATGAACGTTCAGATGGACGATCTACGACATTTATACTTAACTGCGGTATGAATTTGGTTCACCAACCAGCTGAAGGTATCAATCTACTGGCGGGACACAGGACGTGACATTGGCAGCCCAAGGGAATGGGTGACCACCAACGGAACGGAACGTTGAGAGATCAATTCATGATGGATTGTGGCAACGAAAGCACGATGGACGGCAACAGCATGCGGAGGCCTTCATTGAGCAGAGGACGCCTTCAACCAGCAGTGGAAAATACTCGGCTCATTTATAACCAGGATTTCGACTGACTATAAATTCCCTTATATTTGCAAAGGGAAGTCATCAACTGCATGAATAAGATGTTACAATACCTTAACGTGAAAGGAACCATATGAAAAGAGCCGATGTTCAGGGCGGTGACTGTGTCCTATGAAGAAGGGCCAATGAAGAGACGTTTCAGGCAATGGCCCTTCTTTGTAAATGCACGTCATGATTAAGGGGCATTTCCAAAAACATCACCTCTTATATTTCCATTCATGTGTTGAAGGTTTATTTTGTAACGTTGTGCTTGTGCACAACTGCCAACGACTCGCCAGATAATTTGTTCCAATACCTTTCGACTAATTCCACTCATCAAATTAACACGGCGCAATGTACGAGATCATGCAAGCAGCCACTGAATAACAGTTGTTGCATGCATATGTGGAGTTAATATTAACTTTATGTTCCTCAGCTGTGGGTTATTTTAACACGCTTGGAATTTTAACGAGTGGGGCACCCGTGGTTGGCTTGAATTAAACACGAGGCATGCAATGATTCATAACCCTCCACGAGCAATTCGATAAAATGTTCAAGGAATAAAATTTGCCTTCCGTAATTTTTACAGCTCTGTTGGATTTTCAACAACAACAAAAAATGTCGGTCCTCGCTCCCGCAGTTCGGTTGACGTAACTGAAATGAGCGTACCGTGAGCATACGACCGGCACACACGGCCTCTTACGAATTGCATGTTGTGGATTCTGACGTAAGCACTCTTGACATGGGGTATTGCGAACGTGAACAATCAATTGCACTCAATGACAGCTGCACGTCTCTGAGAATAGAGGGAAGCACTGCACGAGTTTGCAATTTAAAGTATCTTAGGTTAATGAAAAAGATCACTAAAGGCATTTTCCTGCAAACACATTCGAAGAATAACTTTGTTTCGTTGCACATAGAATACTGTGATTCAGTATGGACCTTATGTATATGTGGGTCTTTGCTAATCATCAACATCACCATCATCTTTATTTATTAGCAGATAAGAGGTGGGAATGTGGAGTCCACCGAAGAGATGGACCAGCTCACCTGCAGATGCTGGGTGGATTGCTGTATCGCAGGACCGTGGCGGGAGGTGACGGATTGATGACACCTTCATCCAGCAGTGGATTGACCACGGTTGTTGACGACGATCCTGATGACGAAAAGCCAGGGTCATTATTGCGTCACTGCAACGCCGTAGCCATGGAGTCAACATTGAGGGGGACCAAATCTTCCAGGCGGTCCCGGGGGTCCCCCCCAGTAAAAAAAGAAAATCTAAATTTGATAACGAATTTCCTGCCATTTCCTGCCTAAAATATTTATAAATTCACTAACACATAGGATGGATTTTTTTGATATTTTTTTACAATAATGTCTAATAGAGTATTGTATTACATTGCTCTGTTTTTTCTTTTTTACGTTTTCTTATTTCATTGCATGTTATGGCAGAGATTAGGGATTAATAAATTACAACCATAACCACAATCATATAAACAGAAATCTATTTTATAGCAATATATTGGGGGGGGGGGGGCATTTAGAGCAGAGGATATCATCTTGACCGTTAAAGGAAAGTCAGTGGGATTGATCGCGACACATCTTGGCCAGTACCCATACAATTTAGCCGTATTGTCGCTTCGCACGACGTTTGCAAACACACACCAACCATTACATAGACAAATATCCCTCGTAAAGACTGTTGGGGCAAGTGCTGTCAGCGAGCACCTATCAAGGCGGGCACGGCACACGATGGGGGGTGGGTGGCCAAAACCACGCCACCTTCGTCTCCCCAGCGGCGATGTTTTACACATCTCACCAGGTACTCATTTGAGGCCGAGTCGACCTAGGGGAGGCCCATGACCGGTTCAGAAAAATCGTCAGCGTTGGTGTTGGTGGCCGTGAGCGGGAATCGAACCCGGGTCTCTAGGTCCGTAGCGCAGCGTGGCGCTAACACACTACGGGCTCCCCACATTACACGAAATATAGCGACGCACGGCGATAACGTAAACGTTGCCTTTCGTGAACGAAATTGTAAACGCGTATTAGTCAGCCCGGCGCGCGCTCATGCGCGCGCACAACAAGATGCATTGCTTCTATATGTTGATGTTTCATACCCGTCAAGCCCTTATCAGTGCCCTATCTTATTCCGGATCAATTCAGATCTTATTGGTCACCCCGTGCTGCTGATCGATCTCAACGTGCATCCTACACAAAGTTCCCATCACAAGACAACGCAAGCAAAATGAACGACAACAACAGTCTGTTGCCCGTACGCCGTATGGATTTGACAACTCAATTTCCCTGTACAAGAATAAGGGGCTAAACCGTGATGGGTTGACGCTTTATGCTATTTTCCTTTAGCCCATGGACCACCCCCCCTCACCTCGCTTCCCGGCGGCGTCTCGGCACCCCAAAGCCGGCCGGAAAATCAGGAAAGACCGCAGGCTTCGCTCTCCCGCGCCGAGCAAAAAGCCGGTAAACGCGAATCTCTCCACCACAAACTTCGTCGTCGATGATATCCAATCAAAACAACAACAAAGACTGGGGTTAGATCGCGTAAATAGATATGTGTCGTTAAACCCTCCACCACCACCCCGACACAGCCAATGTACAAGTCTGTGTTAAGTAAACGTGCCAATTCGTTGCTGGCACAGCAACATCGGTTGTGTGTCGGAGAGTTAAACCCACTACAACATTTACAATCAGGCGGCAGCATCGGGCGGGACAGCCAGATTTGTGGCCTGTCCCGCCTGACGGTGCTCCTTGTGATGACCGGCGAAACGTCGGACGTTGTGGATTTTTGCTCTCCCAACACACAAGCCGGTTAGCGCTGTACTTGGTAACGAATTGGCCACGTTCTCTTTACGTGACACAAACACCAACACCACCACCACTCCTCACACTAAATTGGCCGCGTCGGTTGGTGTAGTCTTTCAACGACACAAACACTTTCACATTTACGCGATCTAACGCAAAAAAAAACAACAACCAACCATAATGCGCTTAACTTAACTTACTCCGCGGCAAACTCGCAAACATCGACTGTCTAGCGCAAACATCGATTGTCTAGCGCAAACATCGATTGTCTAGCGCAAACATCGACTGTCTAGCGCAAACATCGATTGTCTAGCCTTAACAATGTACACACACGCAGACACACTCACACATTCTCGTGTTTTACAATGAACCCCCACACGCACAAGCACAGCACCTCAAAGACTCGGGGTTAAAGAGAACGCACGCGACATTGTATATAGAGAGAGAGGTAATCCATCCAGCGGTGGAGAAAGGCGAGGGGAGAGGCGGCGAGTCTGGGCCCCAACACAACAAGAAAGGGGGATGATGGTAGAGGATTGAAGAGACTTTCAACAGAACGCAGAGGCGAAGCTGCTGTGGACACAACTCCGCAAGAGTGAGTGAGAGAGATAGAGAGATGGAGCGATTGAAACATCATGAACTGACGTGGCTTGACAAGGAACAGTCGAGCGGCAGCGGCTTGGGAGGGAGGCAGGAGGGGATGGGAAGGAACGAAAGCAGCTGTCAATCCAGCGGTGAAATCATCGCAGAGGCGCGCAAAGACTTACCACGCTAACCTTGTGCCTCTTGAGACGCTGCGACGAGAGTGTGGGTTGAAGTGTGTGTGGTGTGTGTGTTGTGGTGTGGTGTTCAAGTTGGATAGTCCGTAGCGAGAGGAGGGAGGGTGCAGGCGACGTGGAGGAGAACTCGGCGGCTTAGCTCGCCATTAGCCCGGCGAGAGGCGACGTCTCCTCGCCGGCTCTGCGGGCGCCTCAGACGAAATCCGCGGAAGCAGCACAACCAGGACCACCACCACCAGCACCACCTACTTCCTGAAAGCGTTAACTTTATATACACGGGGTTTTTTTTGTTTGTTTTAAAGCTTTCGTGACTGCAGGGATTCATATTCTTGGTTCTTTCGGTAAAAGTCACGTAGAAGGGAAACAATAAAATAAAACATATAAAACAATATATTTTTATTGTTTTATTGTTTCCCTTCTACGTCACTTACTTTACCGAAAGAACCAAGAATATTTATAAACACGTTTTTTTAACCAACGCCCCCAACTCAACCGAAATAAGTATTCGTAGTCAACAAATTATAATTAACTTATTTCAAATCGCGATTGTTGTTTTTATTGAATGAAACGATTGGCGCATGTTATGCCGCGGATTTCTTAACGTGGCACTCGCAGCGACGTCACTCTTACGTCACCGTTCAGGCACGCAGACCCACCTGATGACGTCACGCATTCCTGATCCCATCACCGCGGAGTGCGATGGGATCCTGGCAACATCCTGAACAAGGATTTAAAGGAAGAAACATAATGATCATCTCTAGTTAGGAGTAATGATCATCTCTAGTTAGGAGTAACAATCATCTCTAGTTAGGAGTAATAATCATCTCTGGTTAGGAGTAATAATCATCTCTGGTTAGGACTAATAATCATCTCTAGTTAGGAGTAATAATCATCTCTGGTTAGGAGTAATAATTATCTCTGGTTAGGAGTAATGATCATCTCTAGTTAGGAGTAATAATCATCTCTAGTTAGGAGTAATAATCATCTCTAGTTAGGAGTAATGATCATCTCTAGTTAGGAGTAATAATCATCTCTGGTTAGGAGTAATAATCATCTCTAGTTAGGAGTAATGATCATCTCTAGTTAGGAGTAATAATCATCTGTAGTTAGGAGTAATAATCATCTCTGGTTAGGAGTAATAATCATCTCTAGTTAGGAGTAATAATCATCTCTAGTTAGGAGTAATAATCATCTCTAGTTAGGAGTAATGATCATCTCTAGTTAGGAGTAATAATCATCTCTGGTTAGGAGTAATAATCATCTCTGGTTAGGAGTAATAATCATCTCTGGTTAGGAGTAATAATCATCTCTAGTTGGGAGTAATAATGATCTCTAGTTAGGAGTAATAATCATCTCTGGTTAGGAGTAATGATCATCTCTAGTTAGGAGTAATAATCATCTCTAGGTAGGAGTAATAATCATCTCTAGTTAGGAGTAATGATCATCTCTAGTTAGGAGTAATAATCATCTCTAGTTAGGAGTAATAATCATTTCTAGATTTAATGCTTTCGTGACTGCTAGGATCCATACTCTTTGGTTCTATTGGGTAAAGTCACGTGACTTTACCCAATAGAACCAAAGAGTAGTAATAATCATCTCTGGTTAGGAGTAACAATCATCTCTAGTTAGGAGTAATAATCATCTCTAGTTGGGAGTAACAATCATCTCTAGTTAGGCGTAATAATCATCCCTGGTTAGGAGTAATAATCATCTCTAGTTAGGAGTAATAATCATCTCTAGTTAGGAGTAATAATCATCTCTAGTTAGGAGTAATAATCATCTCTAGTTGCTAGGGTTAACAATCATCTCTAGTTAGGAGTAACAATCATCTCTAGTTAGGAGTAATAATCATCTCTAGTTAGGAGTAATAATCATCTCTAGTTGGGAGTAATAATCATCTCTAGTTAGGAGTAATAATCATCTCTAGTTAGGAGTAATGATCATCTCTAGTTAGGAGTAATAATCATCTCTAGTTGGGAGTAATAATCATCTCTAGTTGAGAGTAATAATCATCTCTAGTTAGGAGTAATAATCATCTCTAGTTGAGAGTAATAATCATCTCTAGTTAGGAGTAATAATCATCTCTGCTTAGGAGTAACAATCATCTCTAGTTAGGAGTAATAATCATCTCTAGTTGGGAGTAACAATCATCTCTAGTTAGGAGTAATAATCATCCCTGGTTAGGAGTAATAATCATCTCTAGTTAGGAGTAATAATCATCTCTAGTTAGGAGTAATACTCATCTCTAGTTGCTAGGGTTGACAATCATCTCTAGTTAGGAGTAACAATCATCTCTAGTTAGGAGTAATAATCATCTCTAGTTAGGAGTAATGATCATCTCTAGTTAGGAGTAATAATCATCTCTGGTTAGGATTAATAATCATCTCTAGTTAGGAGTAATGATCATCTCTAGTTAGGAGTAATAAACCTCTCTAGTTCGGAGTAATAATCATCTCTGGTTAGGAGTAATAATCATCTCTGGTTAGGAGTAATAATCATCTCTAGTTAGGAGTAATAATCATCTCTAGTTAGGAGTAATAATCATCTCTAGTTAGGAGTAATAAACATCTCTGGTTAGGAGTAATAATCATCTCTAGTTAGGAGTAATAATCATTTCTAGATTTAAAGCTTTCGTGACTGCTAGGATCCATACTCTTTGGTTCTATTGGGTAAAGTCACGTGACTTTACCCAATCGAACCAAAGAGTAGTAACAATCATCTCTGGTTAGGAGTAACAATCATCTCTAGTTAGGAGTAATAATCATCTCTAGTTGGGAGTAACAATCATCTCTAGTTAGGAGTAATAATCATCCCTGGTTAGGAGTAATAATCCTCTCTAGTTAGGAGTAATAATCATCTCTAGTTAGGAGTAATAATCATCTCTAGTTGCTAGGGTTAACAATCATCTCTAGTTAGGAGTAACAATCATCTCTAGTTAGGAGTAATAATCATCTCTAGTTAGGAGTAATAATCATCTCTAGTTAGGAGTAATAATCATCTCTGGTTAGGAGTAATAATCATCTCTAGTTAGGAGTAATAATCATCTCTGGTTAGGAGTAATAATCATCTCTGGTTAGGAGTAATAATCATCTCTAGTTAGGAGTAATAATCATCTCTAGTTAGGAGTAATAATCATCTCTGGTTAGGAGTAATAATCATCTCTGGTTAAGAGTGTTAATCATCTCTAGTTAGGTGTAATAATCATCTCTAGTTAGGAGTAATAATTATCTCTGGTTAGGAGCAATAATCATCTCTAGTTAGGAGTAATAATCATCTCTAGTTAGGAGTAATAATCATATCTAGTTAGGAGTAATAATCATCTCTAGTTAGGAGTAATAATCATCTCTAGTTAGGAGTAACAATTATCTCTAGTTAGGAATAATAATCATCTCTAGTTAGGAGTAATAAACATCCCTAGTTAGGAGTAATGAACATCTCTAGTTAGGAGTAATAATCATCTCTAGTTAGGAGTAACAATCATCTCTAGTTCAGAGTAATAATCATCTCTAATTAGGAGTAATAATCATCTCTAGTTAGGAGTAATAATCATCTCTGTTTAGGAGTAATGATCATCTCTGGTTAGGAGTAATAATCATCTCTGGTTAGGAGTAATAATCATCTCTAGTTAGCAGTAATAATCATCTCTGGTTAGGAGTAATACTCATCTATAGTTTGGAGAAATAATCATCTCTTGTTAGGAGTAATAATCATCTCTTGTTAGGAGTAATACTCATCTCTAGTTAGGAGTAACAATCATCTCTAGTTAGGAGTAATAATCATCTCGTAAGGAGTAATAATCATCTCTAGTTAGGAGTAACAATCATCTCTAGTTCGGAGTAATAATCATCTCTAGTTAGGAGTAATAATCATCTCTGGTTAGGAGTAATAATCATCTCTTGTTAGGAGTAATAATCATCTCTGTTTAGGAGTAATAATCATCTGTAGTTAGGAGTAATAATCAGCTCTATTTAGGAGTAACAATCATCTCTGGTTAGGAGTAATAATCATCTCTAGTTGGAGTAATAATCAGCTCTAGTTAGGAGTAATAATCATCTCTAGTTAGGAGTAATAATCATCTCTAGTTAGGTGTAATAATCATCTCTAGTTAGGAGTAATAATCATCTCTAGTTAGGAGTAATAATCATTTTTAGTTAGGAGTAATAATCATCTCTGGTTAGGAGTAATAATCATCTCTAGTTAGGAGTAATAATCATCTCTGGTTAGGAGTAATAATAATCTCTAGTTAGGAGTAATAATCATCTCTAGTTAGGAGTAATAATCATCTCTAGTTAGGAGTAATAATCATCTCTAGTTGAGAGTAATAATCATCTCTGGTTAGGAGTAATAATCATCTCTAGTTAGGAGTAATAATCATCTCTGGTTAGGAGTAATAATCATCTCTAGTTAGGAGTAATAATCATCTCTAGTTAGGTGTAATAATCATCTCTAGTTAGGAGTAATAATCATCTCTAGTTAGGAGTAATAATCATTTTTAGTTAGGAGTAATAATCATCTCTGGTTAGGAGTAATAATCATCTCTAGTTAGGAGTAATAATCATCTCTGGTTAGGAGTAATAATAATCTCTAGTTAGGAGTAATAATCATCTCTAGTTAGGAGTAATAATCATCTCTAGTTAGGAGTAATAATCATCTCTAGTTGAGAGTAATAATCATCTCTGGTTAGGAGTAATAATCATCTCTAGTTAGGAGTAATAATCATCTCTAGTTAGGAGTAATAATCATCTCGGTTAGGAGTAATAATCATCTCTAGTTAGGAGTAATAATCATCTCTAGTTAGGAGTAATAATCATCTTTAGTTAGGAGTAACAATTATCTCTAGTTAGGAGTAATAATCATCTCTAGTTAGGAGTAATAAACATCTCTAGTTAGGAGTAATAATCATCTCTAGTTAGGAGTAATAATCATCTCTAGTTAGGAGTAATAATCATCTCTGTTTAATAAATATATTAAATAAATATAGACAACACGTTCTACTTAATTAAATAGACTTTTTTATATAAATTATTTCTCCTACAACATCAGAGTGCAGCGCCACATTAAATACGCACTACAATGACAATAGTTTAAAGCGATTTGAAGCATGTTTTATTTGGGGGGGGGGGGCATATTTGGGGGGGGGGGGGTCTGACTTTTTGTGACGTCGTGTGACGAGGGGGGGGTAATCAAAAATCGTCCAAAATCGCGTGACGTCATTTATGGACGCCCCCTTAGGAATAATAATCATCTCTGGTTGTTATGATGCTACTGTTGCACGTCAGTGCTGTACAAGCACATGATAACTACACACACGTTC